ATTTGTGTCACTGACCTAGTCACCGTGACCCAATTATGATGATTTCATTCTCTGGTAAACATGAAGTTCTGAAGTTTCTTCTTGAAGAAGTGTAATTGTTTTCAATCAGATATGAATTGCATAAGGCTTGATGATGAATGCATTTTAAACTTCAGGGTAAAAATGTTTGCTCACCACTTGTATATTTTCTATTCTTGGGATTTCGGAAAAAATCTAAGTAACAATGAAACAATCATGGGGTATGATTATGAGAGAACAGTTGCCCTAGAAACGTCATCCATTTATGAATACTGTGACAATATATGTGATATTCACTGAACAAATCTCACATTGAATTAAATTCTTTCACAGTATAAACTATTCCACTTCTATAGTCAACATCATCTTCACCTGGTCTACTCTTCTGTCTGCTTTCCAATGTAAAGCAAGGTAGAAGTCGATCTTGGCTCCATGTTATTTGTACAACTGAGTGAATATTATGGAAAAGTTGTGAAGAGTTATGTTCGTCAGACGTCTGTGTCTTGATAACTAATCAAACGCGTCTGCTTTTCACACATAATCATCACCAAATTCAACAAATGGTGAATCGTAATAGGCTTGCCATAGCTTTATTGTACTTTGATTTATACTTGATGAATATATGCACTCACTTAAAGTATCTCTATATTCATGAGTTTTCCTGACTGCTGCCGTTTCCAGCACTTTGAGCTTAGCTAAAAAAACAAGAGGTAATGAATGATATTTAAAACGTTGATCAAGAAACTGCACTGTCATATTTATCATCAAACTGAATGCAACATATTGACGATCCGAAGACGTGTCATAATAGTTTGGTTATTTCCCAGCACGTTCCTTTTCACCCCACAGTCATTATATTAGATTTCAAAAGTTTAGTCCACTCCTCACGAAAAGAGTGACGACTCACTGGTGGTAAAACTGGCCCATCGAATATTTCTGAAAGGATTTTACTGGTGGTGAAAAAGATATCTAATACAACCTAGTTAATATGTGTCTGTTATTAATGAGTGTATATGTCAATTAACGACTAACTGTGAATAAAGTGACTAGAGAATTTTCATACTACCTGCTTATTATTTATGAACGTAGTGTGCAATACAAATTTACAGAATCCTTTTACCTTTGGATGTATTCACTGCTTCCTTCGCTTCCATAAACTTCTTCTTTATCATTTCAGTTTGGACTATAATTTCACGATATCGGAAAGTATGAGATGTTTCACTGTGAATTCTTCAGCGTGAAATAATCGTATTAGCGCAGTGGCTACTGCCTGTCACAATAGCTGTTTATCCTGCTGATAATGTCCAACTTACCGCATGATATTTTGAGTAGTTACTGATATCAATAGAACAAATAACTTCACTATGTGTAAACTGCATTTCCAATGCATCTCTGCCCATCTCCAATGTTAAATTGGCTTTCTCCATTATAGAACAATAATCGTTTGCACAGAATTTAACAACGTTTCGTGCAATAATTTGTCAAATAAGTGAATGATTAACCTTGTCAGTGGCTTTGCAAGTTACAAATTTATTTATAAGGACATGCTGTATTTTGAAGAGTGTCTGAATATTAAGGATCGACATTTCGTTTGCTACTGATAAGATTTAAAAGTAGAATATGAAGAGACGTTCATCAGAATAAAAACATCAAATTGCAGCGGAATGGATTTTAATTCATAGAGAGCAAATGATTCAACGTCACGATGAAACATGAGAAACCCGAAAGGCACACAAAGAAATGCATTATAAAGTAGAGAAAAAGCATCACACAGAAGTCTTTCGAAATGTTCAGTCCAGTGTTTTCTTTGCACCATCTCTTTTTGATGATTGACTTTTCATTGTCATCCTCTCCTGGCTTACTCTGAGTCGAGTTTTTGCCCGATAGGTGCCTAGTTGTTTGCTAGAGTGTGGCGAGGTCTCCTTTGCCTGCAGCTTGTTCTGCTTCGTTTGCCATGGTTCCATAATATTTTCTTTTGTCTTCTCTGGCACTCTTCTTCACTCTTTTGTTCAGTGTATAGTAGCTTGAATTCAACTCCTGTTTTTGTTGCTCGTCAGTGCACTGTATAATCTTTTGTTTCAGTATCCTTCTCTCTTCTATTAGTCTCCAAGTGTCCGTAGTGAGCCATTGTTCGTCCTGTCTCTTCTTTCTACCTACAGCTTCCATGCAGTTTTGGCTCCACATCGTTTTCAAGTTTTCCCAGTGCTTTCCGACGCCGACCACTTCACTGGTGTTGATTTTTGTCTCGGCTTTTTCCCTTATGTTTGCAATGAAGATGTCCTTTGTAGCCTGGTCCTTCAGCTTTTGAGTGTTGAACTTGGCTTGTGGTCTGTCTGCAGCTCCTCCTTCTCTGAACGCTTTCAGTTTCATTTGGATTGTCCCTTGTATGAGATAGTGGTCTGAGCCAACGTCTGCTCCTCTTCTTAATTTTGTGTCCAGTAGGCTGTGCCTCCACTTCCTTGAGATTGAGGTGAATTCGATTTGGTTTTTGGTTTGCCCGTCTGGTAACACCCATATAGCCTTGTGGATATCTTTGTGCTTGTATACACTGCCACCAATCACTAGTTCGTTGAAGGCGCAGAAGTCGGCGAAGAGTTCTCCATTTTCATTCATTTTTCCGAGAGCTTCCCTACCCATGATGAGTTCCCTTCCTGTGTTGTCTGGTCCTAGCTTGGCGTTCATGTCTCCCATTAGTATTTTAATGTCGCCAGCTGGAGTATTGTCCATTGTTGCCTGTAGTTGTCTGTAGAATTCTTCTTACTTTTCGGGGTCTGCGTTGTTTGTGGGTGCATAACATTGTATAATTGACACTTTCCTTCCTTTGGAGTTGAATCTGGCAGTCATTATCCTGGACGAGATCACCTCCCATTGCATCAGGGCTCTCGTTGACGTTGGTGACATCATGATAGCCACGCCCTCGGTGTGCGTGTGGTTATCTTCTGGGTGAGCGGAGTAGATCCCTGACTCACCCGTTGGCAATTTAATGAGTCCATTCCCATTCCATCTGCTTTCACATATCTCACCTTATATAATCTCATCTAAATAAATTCTTGCATCCATCCATACATCCATGCATCACACAGCTAACTGGATTCCACCATACGAGGCGAAAATTTATTTGATGATACAAGCACATAACAATTAGTTTTATTAATTAATACAGTCGCAGTGTTCGATTTCATCATACAAAAATTCTCCTATCCTGGAATGATTACAAAATGAACACTGACTGGCAGAAATAAATACTACCTTTAGTCAGTACTAAAAATCATAACTCGACCACTCTTGTCATTCACGTTTCTCATCATGAGTTCTCCGTCGGTGGGGTGAGTGTCTAACTACCAGACTGCGTAACTCAGTGACGTTTGACTTATATTCACGGTGTCCCATAAATATCCAAGGACATGTGAAGAATACATATGTACGATTCATACACAATCAGCGACAAAATTTGCACAGAAAAAAGCACACTATTTCATCATCACCGGGATAACCAAGGAACACGTTAATGTCAGTCATCACTATAAAGCATGCTCACCTCTCTCTCTTTCTATCTCTTAGTGTTTCAAGGGTAAACGTCTAAGCAATTTCATGGTGGTTATGATGATAGGTACGAACTCAGCAATCACTTGACTACGAACGTATGTATTTATTGACGGAATCGACATGTGCAAAGGCGACATCTATACAACTCTAAGTAAACACAACATTCAGGTTATTCTCTGTTCTATTTGAAGCTGAGAGAGTTGAATAACTTTTTGATATTGAATGTTATTTTAAAAGCATCCCAATAATAAGGAATTGGAATATGGTAAAAATAACAGCTCTCAAAATATAATGCTGACTTATTTACATATTAAGGTATGGTGCTTTTTTCAATCCATTAACTTTTCAAACTGTGATATGTCTTCATAACATGAATGACGAATATGCTGCATTCGAATGACGCATAATTGGAATAGGTATATACATTCAATATATTATGTTGCACATTGCGGTTAACGAAATTACCTATAGACAACCAGCCCACGTACCATTAATCCCCACGTGGCTAGATCTTCACAAGTCAGCTTTGCCATTGTATTTCCTGGAAAAGTGCGTATCAAATAACTTGAAAACATCGAGTTGAAGGCATTTCTTCGTACGTAAACACGTTTCGTATTCTTTGGTAAATCATTAAACTTCTCCTCATTGACGTTTCCTGTCAGATACTCAAAGCACTTCGTCAGTCACAACAATAATCTTCGAGTTGTGCAGTAGTGGTTAGCCTATTTGTTGCAATTATTCACTTCATTCTCACACAACTCACTCTACGAGGAAGACAGAAAAGGCCAGCCAAAACAAGATCTTACGAAGTAAAATTTTATATTTAATTAAACAAAAAAGAGTTTAGCAAACAATGTATTCCCTTAACCAATATTTCTTGAATTCCCTTGGAATCGAATTCATTTTCCTGCAGCTGAAACAAAATGAAACCGGGAACAGAGCACAACTGAGTAGAAAATAGGCACGTATCTTGTACAGCAAAAATTGTTATCGACAATGTTCATTTAACTGACCAGTACACTAGTCCTCAGGTAATACTTCCAGTGAATATTGATACACCGATTAAGTGTGTACATTAGCTGGTTGATTCCAAGTGACAATTCTCCTCACAGGAATCAGCTGTGCAAAGTACCTTCTGAATTCAGGATCTTCTCAACACTTGTTACAACCGTTTTATTTGATGCAGCCTCTGACTGTGGTCAAGTGGCAGGTTAGCTAAAAGATCAATCATGACATGCCTGTAAACTGATGAGTAATCAAGAAATGAGAGTGAACAGAATTTCAGTGTTACTTGTTTCTCAAGAATTAATCTAGTTGATTCATAATCAATTGTTCAGTTAGTTAAATATTTGAAATACGTTGAGGATCTAGGTGGAAACTCACTTCAATAATACTGCTTGGCATCTTCCTTCATTTCAGCCAGGGTCCACTTCATTCTATCTTCTGGGGTTTGAACTAGACAGTTCTAAATCATTTCAATATTTCAACTTACACTTTAGGAATTCAATTCTCGTCACTTCCAATAGTTTTATTTTGTCCCGTAATTCCTCTGAAACAGTGAACAGGTTGTCAGTGATGTCTCAGTAGAATTTTCAAATTTATGCTGCAACAATATGAAATAATGTTCAAATCTCAGGATGCTCGATCATGACTACATGACTCATGTCATGTAGTTTCAATGTAACTGTTATTTTGAACTTAACAACGTGTACCATAAATGCTCTTGGCTTTATTCCTTGGTGCATTGATGAACTCACTAAAGCTGTGTTGGAGTCGTTTTGTGTTTCTCGGTAATATAAAAATAATAATAATAGCAGTAAACGTGACGCTCTTGCGTACAGATAGTTAGGACTTAATTGTCACCGACTGTCCAACAGTTTGCAGATTCTTATATTAATGTGACAAGTAATATTACTGATTTTATCAATAATACAGCCTAATTTGGTATAAGTGAATTAGATGACTCGATAATTTACACATCATTAGCCATAAAGGCTTCTTTTGCGCCGTACGAAAATGAAATTCCCTGAGAAGTGTATTCATCACTTGAACTATGAAATATCACATGAGATCAAGCCAAATAACCTTTTAAAATTACTTGTGGCACTGGCGAAATCAGTACGAGCCTTCTGATACAATTCCGTAATTTTAGCGGCATACAGGTAGTCTGAAAGCAATAATAACTTGTTACCAAACTGATCGTCACAAACGTAATTGTCATTTTTGAACGAAAATACCTCATACAAATACATTCAATATGGAATGAGATATATGTAAGTAATATGCGCGCTTTGTATTCACATCTGGTGAGTAAATTCCTACTTTTAATTATCGCGTGATTGGTGTGCCCTCTTTACCTTCTCATGATCTTCAAACTGGAGATGTCCAAGAACGCGTCGCTGTCAATTCAAAATGTCATGTGTGTTGATATTTGTTCATTGAATGACGGCTTGTTGACGATCAAAATTTTCGTTATTTGTGTCACTGACCTAGTCACCGTGACCCAATTATGATGATTTCATTCTCTGGTAAACATGAAGTTCTGAAGTTTCTTCTTGAAGAAGTGTAATTGTTTTCAATCAGATATGAATTGCATAAGGCTTGATGATGAATGCATTTTAAACTTCAGGGTAAAAATGTTTGCTCACCACTTGTATATTTTCTATTCTTGGGATTTCGGAAAAAATCTAAGTAACAATGAAACAATCATGGGGTATGATTATGAGAGAACAGTTGCCCTAGAAACGTCATCCATTTATGAATACTGTGACAATATATGTGATATTCACTGAACAAATCTCACATTGAATTAAATTCTTTCACAGTATAAACTATTCCACTTCTATAGTCAACATCATCTTCACCTGGTCTACTCTTCTGTCTGCTTTCCAATGTAAAGCAAGGTAGAAGTCGATCTTGGCTCCATGTTATTTGTACAACTGAGTGAATATTATGGAAAAGTTGTGAAGAGTTATGTTCGTCAGACGTCTGTGTCTTGATAACTAATCAAACGCGTCTGCTTTTCACACATAATCATCACCAAATTCAACAAATGGTGAATCGTAATAGGCTTGCCATAGCTTTATTGTACTTTGATTTATACTTGATGAATATATGCACTCACTTAAAGTATCTCTATATTCATGAGTTTTCCTGACTGCTGCCGTTTCCAGCACTTTGAGCTTAGCTAAAAAAACAAGAGGTAATGAATGATATTTAAAACGTTGATCAAGAAACTGCACTGTCATATTTATCATCAAACTGAATGCAACATATTGACGATCCGAAGACGTGTCATAATAGTTTGGTTATTTCCCAGCACGTTCCTTTTCACCCCACAGTCATTATATTAGATTTCAAAAGTTTAGTCCACTCCTCACGAAAAGAGTGACGACTCACTGGTGGTAAAACTGGCCCATCGAATATTTCTGAAAGGATTTTACTGGTGGTGAAAAAGATATCTAATACAACCTAGTTAATATGTGTCTGTTATTAATGAGTGTATATGTCAATTAACGACTAACTGTGAATAAAGTGACTAGAGAATTTTCATACTACCTGCTTATTATTTATGAACGTAGTGTGCAATACAAATTTACAGAATCCTTTTACCTTTGGATGTATTCACTGCTTCCTTCGCTTCCATAAACTTCTTCTTTATCATTTCAGTTTGGACTATAATTTCACGATATCGGAAAGTATGAGATGTTTCACTGTGAATTCTTCAGCGTGAAATAATCGTATTAGCGCAGTGGCTACTGCCTGTCACAATAGCTGTTTATCCTGCTGATAATGTCCAACTTACCGCATGATATTTTGAGTAGTTACTGATATCAATAGAACAAATAACTTCACTATGTGTAAACTGCATTTCCAATGCATCTCTGCCCATCTCCAATGTTAAATTGGCTTTCTCCATTATAGAAAAATAATCGTTTGCACAGAATTTAACAACGTTTCGTGCAATAATTTGTCAAATAAGTGAATGATTAACCTTGTCAGTGGCTTTGCAAGTTACAAATTTATTTATAAGGACATGCTGTATTTTGAAGAGTGTCTGAATATTAAGGATCGACATTTCGTTTGCTACTGATAAGATTTAAAAGTAGAATATGAAGAGACGTTCATCAGAATAAAAACATCAAATTGCAGCGGAATGGATTTTAATTCATAGAGAGCAAATGATTCAACGTCACGATGAAACATGAGAAACCCGAAAGGCACACAAAGAAATGCATTATAAAGTAGAGAAAAAGCATCACACAGAAGTCTTTCGAAATGTTCAGTCCAGTGTTTTCTTTGCACCATCTCTTTTTGATGATTGACTTTTCATTGTCATCCTCTCCTGGCTTACTCTGAGTCGAGTTTTTGCCCGATAGGTGCCTAGTTGTTTGCTAGAGTGTGGCGAGGTCTCCTTTGCCTGCAGCTTGTTCTGCTTCGTTTGCCATGGTTCCATAATATTTTCTTTTGTCTTCTCTGGCACTCTTCTTCACTCTTTTGTTCAGTGTATAGTAGCTTGAATTCAACTCCTGTTTTTGTTGCTCGTCAGTGCACTGTATAATCTTTTGTTTCAGTATCCTTCTCTCTTCTATTAGTCTCCAAGTGTCCGTAGTGAGCCATTGTTCGTCCTGTCTCTTCTTTCTACCTACAGCTTCCATGCAGTTTTGGCTCCACATCGTTTTCAAGTTTTCCCAGTGCTTTCCGACGCCGACCACTTCACTGGTGTTGATTTTTGTCTCGGCTTTTTCCCTTATGTTTGCAATGAAGATGTCCTTTGTAGCCTGGTCCTTCAGCTTTTGAGTGTTGAACTTGGCTTGTGGTCTGTCTGCAGCTCCTCCTTCTCTGAACGCTTTCAGTTTCATTTGGATTGTCCCTTGTATGAGATAGTGGTCTGAGCCAACGTCTGCTCCTCTTCTTAATTTTGTGTCCAGTAGGCTGTGCCTCCACTTCCTTGAGATTGAGGTGAATTCGATTTGGTTTTTGGTTTGCCCGTCTGGTAACACCCATATAGCCTTGTGGATATCTTTGTGCTTGTATACACTGCCACCAATCACTAGTTCGTTGAAGGCGCAGAAGTCGGCGAAGAGTTCTCCATTTTCATTCATTTTTCCGAGAGCTTCCCTACCCATGATGAGTTCCCTTCCTGTGTTGTCTGGTCCTAGCTTGGCGTTCATGTCTCCCATTAGTATTTTAATGTCGCCAGCTGGAGTATTGTCCATTGTTGCCTGTAGTTGTCTGTAGAATTCTTCTTACTTTTCGGGGTCTGCGTTGTTTGTGGGTGCATAACATTGTATAATTGACACTTTCCTTCCTTTGGAGTTGAATCTGGCAGTCATTATCCTGGACGAGATCACCTCCCATTGCATCAGGGCTCTCGTTGACGTTGGTGACATCATGATAGCCACGCCCTCGGTGTGCGTGTGGTTATCTTCTGGGTGAGCGGAGTAGATCCCTGACTCACCCGTTGGCAATTTAATGAGTCCATTCCCATTCCATCTGCTTTCACATATCTCACCTTATATAATCTCATCTAAATAAATTCTTGCATCCATCCATACATCCATGCATCACACAGCTAACTGGATTCCACCATACGAGGCGAAAATTTATTTGATGATACAAGCACATAACAATTAGTTTTATTAATTAATACAGTCGCAGTGTTCGATTTCATCATACAAAAATTCTCCTATCCTGGAATGATTACAAAATGAACACTGACTGGCAGAAATAAATACTACCTTTAGTCAGTACTAAAAATCATAACTCGACCACTCTTGTCATTCACGTTTCTCATCATGAGTTCTCCGTCGGTGGGGTGAGTGTCTAACTACCAGACTGCGTAACTCAGTGACGTTTGACTTATATTCACGGTGTCCCATAAATATCCAAGGACATGTGAAGAATACATATGTACGATTCATACACAATCAGCGACAAAATTTGCACAGAAAAAAGCACACTATTTCATCATCACCGGGATAACCAAGGAACACGTTAATGTCAGTCATCACTATAAAGCATGCTCACCTCTCTCTCTTTCTATCTCTTAGTGTTTCAAGGGTAAACGTCTAAGCAATTTCATGGTGGTTATGATGATAGGTACGAACTCAGCAATCACTTGACTACGAACGTATGTATTTATTGACGGAATCGACATGTGCAAAGGCGACATCTATACAACTCTAAGTAAACACAACATTCAGGTTATTCTCTGTTCTATTTGAAGCTGAGAGAGTTGAATAACTTTTTGATATTGAATGTTATTTTAAAAGCATCCCAATAATAAGGAATTGGAATATGGTAAAAATAACAGCTCTCAAAATATAATGCTGACTTATTTACATATTAAGGTATGGTGCTTTTTTCAATCCATTAACTTTTCAAACTGTGATATGTCTTCATAACATGAATGACGAATATGCTGCATTCGAATGACGCATAATTGGAATAGGTATATACATTCAATATATTATGTTGCACATTGCGGTTAACGAAATTACCTATAGACAACCAGCCCACGTACCATTAATCCCCACGTGGCTAGATCTTCACAAGTCAGCTTTGCCATTGTATTTCCTGGAAAAGTGCGTATCAAATAACTTGAAAACATCGAGTTGAAGGCATTTCTTCGTACGTAAACACGTTTCGTATTCTTTGGTAAATCATTAAACTTCTCCTCATTGACGTTTCCTGTCAGATACTCAAAGCACTTCGTCAGTCACAACAATAATCTTCGAGTTGTGCAGTAGTGGTTAGCCTATTTGTTGCAATTATTCACTTCATTCTCACACAACTCACTCTACGAGGAAGACAGAAAAGGCCAGCCAAAACAAGATCTTACGAAGTAAAATTTTATATTTAATTAAACAAAAAAGAGTTTAGCAAACAATGTATTCCCTTAACCAATATTTCTTGAATTCCCTTGGAATCGAATTCATTTTCCTGCAGCTGAAACAAAATGAAACCGGGAACAGAGCACAACTGAGTAGAAAATAGGCACGTATCTTGTACAGCAAAAATTGTTATCGACAATGTTCATTTAACTGACCAGTACACTAGTCCTCAGGTAATACTTCCAGTGAATATTGATACACCGATTAAGTGTGTACATTAGCTGGTTGATTCCAAGTGACAATTCTCCTCACAGGAATCAGCTGTGCAAAGTACCTTCTGAATTCAGGATCTTCTCAACACTTGTTACAACCGTTTTATTTGATGCAGCCTCTGACTGTGGTCAAGTGGCAGGTTAGCTAAAAGATCAATCATGACATGCCTGTAAACTGATGAGTAATCAAGAAATGAGAGTGAACAGAATTTCAGTGTTACTTGTTTCTCAAGAATTAATCTAGTTGATTCATAATCAATTGTTCAGTTAGTTAAATATTTGAAATACGTTGAGGATCTAGGTGGAAACTCACTTCAATAATACTGCTTGGCATCTTCCTTCATTTCAGCCAGGGTCCACTTCATTCTATCTTCTGGGGTTTGAACTAGACAGTTCTAAATCATTTCAATATTTCAACTTACACTTTAGGAATTCAATTCTCGTCACTTCCAATAGTTTTATTTTGTCCCGTAATTCCTCTGAAACAGTGAACAGGTTGTCAGTGATGTCTCAGTAGAATTTTCAAATTTATGCTGCAACAATATGAAATAATGTTCAAATCTCAGGATGCTCGATCATGACTACATGACTCATGTCATGTAGTTTCAATGTAACTGTTATTTTGAACTTAACAACGTGTACCATAAATGCTCTTGGCTTTATTCCTTGGTGCATTGATGAACTCACTAAAGCTGTGTTGGAGTCGTTTTGTGTTTCTCGGTAATATAAAAATAATAATAATAGCAGTAAACGTGACGCTCTTGCGTACAGATAGTTAGGACTTAATTGTCACCGACTGTCCAACAGTTTGCAGATTCTTATATTAATGTGACAAGTAATATTACTGATTTTATCAATAATACAGCCTAATTTGGTATAAGTGAATTAGATGACTCGATAATTTACACATCATTAGCCATAAAGGCTTCTTTTGCGCCGTACGAAAATGAAATTCCCTGAGAAGTGTATTCATCACTTGAACTATGAAATATCACATGAGATCAAGCCAAATAACCTTTTAAAATTACTTGTGGCACTGGCGAAATCAGTACGAGCCTTCTGATACAATTCCGTAATTTTAGCGGCATACAGGTAGTCTGAAAGCAATAATAACTTGTTACCAAACTGATCGTCACAAACGTAATTGTCATTTTTGAACGAAAATACCTCATACAAATACATTCAATATGGAATGAGATATATGTAAGTAATATGCGCGCTTTGTATTCACATCTGGTGAGTAAATTCCTACTTTTAATTATCGCGTGATTGGTGTGCCCTCTTTACCTTCTCATGATCTTCAAACTGGAGATGTCCAAGAACGCGTCGCTGTCAATTCAAAATGTCATGTGTGTTGATATTTGTTCATTGAATGACGGCTTGTTGACGATCAAAATTTTCGTTATTTGTGTCACTGACCTAGTCACCGTGACCCAATTATGATGATTTCATTCTCTGGTAAACATGAAGTTCTGAAGTTTCTTCTTGAAGAAGTGTAATTGTTTTCAATCAGATATGAATTGCATAAGGCTTGATGATGAATGCATTTTAAACTTCAGGGTAAAAATGTTTGCTCACCACTTGTATATTTTCTATTCTTGGGATTTCGGAAAAAATCTAAGTAACAATGAAACAATCATGGGGTATGATTATGAGAGAACAGTTGCCCTAGAAACGTCATCCATTTATGAATACTGTGACAATATATGTGATATTCACTGAACAAATCTCACATTGAATTAAATTCTTTCACAGTATAAACTATTCCACTTCTATAGTCAACATCATCTTCACCTGGTCTACTCTTCTGTCTGCTTTCCAATGTAAAGCAAGGTAGAAGTCGATCTTGGCTCCATGTTATTTGTACAACTGAGTGAATATTATGGAAAAGTTGTGAAGAGTTATGTTCGTCAGACGTCTGTGTCTTGATAACTAATCAAACGCGTCTGCTTTTCACACATAATCATCACCAAATTCAACAAATGGTGAATCGTAATAGGCTTGCCATAGCTTTATTGTACTTTGATTTATACTTGATGAATATATGCACTCACTTAAAGTATCTCTATATTCATGAGTTTTCCTGACTGCTGCCGTTTCCAGCACTTTGAGCTTAGCTAAAAAAACAAGAGGTAATGAATGATATTTAAAACGTTGATCAAGAAACTGCACTGTCATATTTATCATCAAACTGAATGCAACATATTGACGATCCGAAGACGTGTCATAATAGTTTGGTTATTTCCCAGCACGTTCCTTTTCACCCCACAGTCATTATATTAGATTTCAAAAGTTTAGTCCACTCCTCACGAAAAGAGTGACGACTCACTGGTGGTAAAACTGGCCCATCGAATATTTCTGAAAGGATTTTACTGGTGGTGAAAAAGATATCTAATACAACCTAGTTAATATGTGTCTGTTATTAATGAGTGTATATGTCAATTAACGACTAACTGTGAATAAAGTGACTAGAGAATTTTCATACTACCTGCTTATTATTTATGAACGTAGTGTGCAATACAAATTTACAGAATCCTTTTACCTTTGGATGTATTCACTGCTTCCTTCGCTTCCATAAACTTCTTCTTTATCATTTCAGTTTGGACTATAATTTCACGATATCGGAAAGTATGAGATGTTTCACTGTGAATTCTTCAGCGTGAAATAATCGTATTAGCGCAGTGGCTACTGCCTGTCACAATAGCTGTTTATCCTGCTGATAATGTCCAACTTACCGCATGATATTTTGAGTAGTTACTGATATCAATAGAACAAATAACTTCACTATGTGTAAACTGCATTTCCAATGCATCTCTGCCCATCTCCAATGTTAAATTGGCTTTCTCCATTATAGAAAAATAATCGTTTGCACAGAATTTAACAACGTTTCGTGCAATAATTTGTCAAATAAGTGAATGATTAACCTTGTCAGTGGCTTTGCAAGTTACAAATTTATTTATAAGGACATGCTGTATTTTGAAGAGTGTCTGAATATTAAGGATCGACATTTCGTTTGCTACTGATAAGATTTAAAAGTAGAATATGAAGAGACGTTCATCAGAATAAAAACATCAAATTGCAGCGGAATGGATTTTAATTCATAGAGAGCAAATGATTCAACGTCACGATGAAACATGAGAAACCCGAAAGGCACACAAAGAAATGCATTATAAAGTAGAGAAATAGCATCACACAGAAGACCTTCGCAAATAGGCCTTTTAGCCTCATCCAAAAAAATCTGTGCAGCTTCTATGCAACTTATCTCAATCTGTAATCCGCACATTCATACACAATTTTATCATGAAGATTACGACATTTCCGGAAGTAGATGAAGCACTATCACTCACTTCAAAGCACTAATTTCCTGCTCTACTTCAGCATAATGATTTGCAAGTTACTACAATCAAGTGATAACACATACATCTGCTGATATGAGAAATATCTCTCTGAGAATTTACAGGGGCATGTGCAGTTGTAGGAGATATTTTTAAAAGTTACTCTTTGTTGTCAGGGATTAAATTCCTTGATTAGCCGGCTACGAATCAAGGCAAGCGATATGAGTAGTAGGAGGATGTGAAGACCGATTGTTACAGAACAGTCTAAGGTAAAAAGACAACCATAAAATGATTTTCGGAAAAATAAGCACATACATTTATCGTTCACAACTTCACGGTATGAATCTGCGAATGCGTTTAGTGTATCACGCCGATTATCTGAAACAGACAAAAATATTTCTGTCGAGCTGTTTAATTAACCCTTCACTTACCAAGTCGAACACACACACACAAATTAAATTCCCTTGTGTAACAAAAATAACAAGATTCAGATTTCCAACACAAATGTTAGGCCAGTCAGTCCGTTCATCTTAAGTGTCTGAAACTTGGCGCATAATGAAAAGGATTTCCAACGGGTTGCAGACTTTCAGTAGCAGCTTCCTTTGCTCACTAATGAAGATCAAACCGCCAGGAAGAATCGCTTACAAGAAACTCTGTCTGAGAACTAATTAACGAAGAGCCGATTACACAACAGGTTTGTAGGAGCAAATAGAGATGGAGCAGGTGTACATTGAGGGAAGCGTTAAATGACATTGACTGTGATAGGCAATAGCTCGGGTGGGTCATCTATGTGAAGGTTAAATGTAGGAGATCGTGTGAGAATGGGATGATAGATTTTAAACATTCGCGGACCCAGCTGAAGCGGGTGGTGGAAAATAGAACAAAGTGGAGATGTGTTGTTGAATCTCCATGTTCCACTAAGAACTCAAGGGAACAACAATAATATTAATATATTTTAAATGACATAGGTATGGATAACACAGTACATTGTGGGTGTCCGTTTCAGGCCCTTGTTATATGAAATTTTATGTAAGCCAAGAATATCAGCAGTATTGAATTTGTTCTCACTGTATACAATGACTGAATGACAGACTGAAACGTCATCTGCTGTAACGACAATGCTAATTTTGTCAATAAAGCCAGCTACACAGATTATATTGGTATTTCATTTTATTACGCATAATGATGCCGTACACCGAAGCTTGAACGAATCATGGCAATGTTTCAAGATATGAAGTCGCAAAGAGGTGGATAACAAGGATCGACTAATAAGAGCGAAAAACTGGAACACGATGTATTAATATGATTTGATTTATGGGTTTTTTCTGGAGATATGGGATATCAATGACTGTAAATAAATCTACTAAAGACGCATTAAAGGACTGTTACTGCTAAAATCACCTTCTATAAATATACATATTACATGAATTAGATTCGACGTAGTGGGAAAACGCACATTGAATGCATTAGTTTACTAGAACGACTAATCACAGACAACTGGACAGAAACAGAGAAGCGCCTTCATCTTGTCCTCCATCTTCCATCCTCAGATACAAAGGCTGATTTATCCTTAAAATAAAATGTTTATGTCTATGATCATGTCTACGCTCAATTCTGATCTGAGGACAGATATTGACGGGAAATTTTAGCTGATGGTCGCACTTTGTATTGCAAATCGACAGTCCTTTCCAATGACTGAATTTTCAGACGGCTTGTCATGCAATGAGCTGGTAATATCTAGGCGTTTTCAGATCAGCAGAATACGTGACGGACTGTTTATTGTTGCACATGATCTAGCATATATTACTAATATCAGTAAAAGGTTTGAGTACTGTGGAATACGTCAAATAAACTGTTGAAGTGATACGTTTTTGTTCTTGTTAATTTTTCGAGTATAATTACTGCCCGGAATGCCATCAACTTCTGGAATTGCTTTGTTTTTTTCACGCTTAGAATCACTGAGTGTTGGTCAATAAATGTAAGAAAGATGAATACGATGAACTTTTCGAACTTATCATAAACAAGCAGCAGAAAGATTCACAGCATATTCCAGCTTATAAAGGTAATCACCCAAATGTAAAGATGTACCGCAAAAGAATGTAAATTGACGCTTTAAGACAATGGGACGATCTCAACTGTATCATATATGAAGACAGTGTGGAGAGAATTGGTCAGAGTGGCAAGGTTTCACAAATGTGCTGGAACAGAGCTGACTCACTAAGAAATCGAGGCGATCTTCCCCCAGGGCACGGAAGTAGAACAGATAGACTCAGAAATCGGCTACTCAGTTCCCTAGTAAAATAGTTCGAGGTGCTTATTTTACCGCCGATGCCCTGTGAAACTGAAATTTTTAAAAAAAAGTATATGGTGGGCTGGATACCATAAATGCTCATTAAGAAAATAACCCTAGATGGATGATACTTAGTAATATCGACTGAAATGACACCACTTACACGATCTAGGAGTGCTTGTTGGCCGGTGAGATAAAAGTGATAGAAACAATGAAAATCCATCTATCTCGTTTATCACCCTATTCATTGGTGGCTTGTTTGGTTCATCAGAGCTGCAAGAAGCAAATCACACTGAATCCCTTGAACTCAGTCGGAATCAGGCTAGTGAATGAACTGTACTATTTCATTTAAATGCCGTCAAGCTACTCATATCCGCTAATCAGTAGTATGAAATATCAGGCGAAAACTGAAAGATATTGAGAGAGATAATCTATTTTAATTTAAGAAGTTTGTGATTTGGCTTTTTTATTATTACCACTTGTGAGTGAAAGTTTCTAACTGTAGCGTTCCACTCATTCACACAATGCTAAGCAACAACATTGAAACGTATTATTGAGAGAGTTTGAAGCTCTAATATCAGTTCAAAAATATGAAATCATGTAAGCTAAAATATCGATGAATTTTTATTAGTTCTTTTTACAAACGATAACTGTATTTCATATGAAATGTCGAAAACATGAACGCGTTCACCAGAATAACGTTTCTCACCTCAGAGATTTCTGAAACTTAATTATCTCATATGACGAATCATTTCGATGAATATAGTTATTGGTATTATTTTTATTATGCCTCTCAGTTATAATTTAACGACGGCACGTTCGTTTAAACTGTTTGTACTAATTGAATGACCTCCTTAATAGCTAGAAACCTTCTCTCAAACAGAATCATGTTATGCTTAGTGAAGTGATTTAAATAGTAAGATAGGACCTCATTGAATAAGACGTATATATACTTCATTATTCTATATTTATCGTGGTCCGTCTTATACGTATGGCAGTCCCAATAGCTTATTCATGGTTATTAGACTTTCTTTTGGTAAATGACACCACAAGATTTCCAATGAATAATCCTGTTGACATACGAAGTGTGATTCGAATTCATATGAGACCCACCATATTACAAGATAATGATATGAATCAACGCCTTGATATCCAAAACCATATTTTTCATTGACACTGAAGAGCTTCCAGGGAGGTGATGAAGTCTACGGCTCAGATAAGCTGATGATTTTTGCACTAACAAACGGATAAGCATCTTTAAAAATTACCGTAGTCAGAGTCCAGAGTTGTCTGTGAACATCGCAGTTGCTGGTGACTGTATAGTCAGAGGATAAACATTAAGATTGCCGCTAGAATGATAAACAAATAACCATCCGATAGTGGTGAGATGAAACGGAATGTTTCAGTTAATAAGTATAAGTGACGATCAAGTGGTGATGCATGCGGACCGAAATCCGTTAGGACTGACTAGTTTTGATGCTAAATCGCTTACATAGTCACCACTGATACTATTATTCAGCATGTTCATAGAGGAAAACTTCAAGCTGAGCAACAGTATGACTTCAAAGTGAGTCATTCTAGCTTCGTTACATTTTCTTACTGGAGAAAACGTTCTGTCTGTCTAATGCTTATCTTCTAAGGAATTCTACATCTGTCAATAGACCTTCTTATCAAAGTAATTCGTGAAGGTTAATCATTCTTGGAATCAGTAGAATGGTAGGTAACTAGGCTGAGTATTTCGATATGGATAGAACATAAGAAACAGACGTTTACATTGAGAGGTTTGTTTTTCACATAGTAATGTGAACCAGTTTAATGTTTGTCTGGAACGATTTTTTCTTCACATTTTATGGATTTATCACTAACAGGTTGAAAGAATTATTGTTTGTTTACAGCTTACTATCCCTAATAATATTTAAGCTGGAAACATTATTGCTGCAATCATCGCAATCAGAAGTTGCCACGTTTGTCCGTTTCCATCTACGTCATTGTTTTAGTAATTTAGATTTAACATTTCGAATATTTCAATTGACAATATGTTTGTCTGTTTCTCTGAATTACGCGAAAACTAAAAATGTGTGAAACAGTTAAGGTGAGTGAAAAAAACCATATTTCCAAGGCTTTATTTTGTAGAATACAAAGTTTGGAGTTACTTCTCCAGAGATCTGTTATCTCAAGGTAGGTAAATTTATTTATATTTAGAATGAAATCTCCAATCAAACCAAGTATCTTATTTATGTCGTGTGCAATGGTTTTGTTGACAATAATCATCACAATGTGTGCAGCCACCTTGTGAGTTTGTATTTCAGTTATTTTTCTGAGCGCTGTTATCTAGAAACCAGCTCTTCGTGGACTGTACGAAGGTTTCCTTATACCAGCTGTATTCTTGTGAGTAACTCAATGCAGAATTACATTATTTAAATATCTTTGTTTCGATATATTTCATTTCATTATTTTTACAGTACTGTGTTTGATTTTCTCCCGCTTATACCCCTGCCTGTTTTCTGTGAAAAGAATGCGATTTGAATCAATATTATTTATGCGCATATTACATGGAAGTGCTTTCAGGTTTTATTCACTACTGATTGATGAAAGTGAAAGCTCGCTTCTCAAACTCCTGTGGTCTTCATTTCCTCTTTGCAGCTTATGTCAGTAGTAGCAGTTTGTGGTGGTAGAGATTAGGAAATGAGGTTTGAAAATATTAGTTGTAACTTGAATGTTTATTTGACTGTCATGTGAAACTATTAGGACAAGACATATAAGAGAACAATATTGTGCAGAGAGCCATGTAGGGAGAACAAACAAACAGCTCAACAAACGTATTCATGAGCATCTTTCTTCATCGTTCAGTAAAGGCCAAATAAAATCTATGATAAGTTCTATTTTGACTCATTTGATTGGTACTGGTCACCATGTAGACAGAGGTAGTGCTTTCAAAGTAATCTATCGCATTCTATGGAAACTTTCGAATGGAATTCGAAGCCCCCTTTTATGCAAAGCCGATGCTATGGGAATTCGAGGGAACAATGCTGGTCTTTGTATACAACATCAGTTTGTTCTACCTTCGTCTCCCTCTCTATCTTATTTTCCGTCTCCTTTGTACTTTTATAGCATTTATTTAAGCTCTGATTATTTGTTCACTTCACCTTTAGTATTACGTAACTTTTAAGGTTTCGACCTAATTTACTTACTGAATTGTCTACGTATACACATATTATTACCTTTGTTATTCTTATCGCCAACTGCACAAACCTTATTATCATTAATTTGGCTTAGATAAAGCAATAAGAAGACGTATTTGTCTGAATCGTGTAATGTATTAGCGCAACACATTTCGAACAATCTGATTACACACGGACTTGTCATAGGAATATATATGAAATTACTAAAGAGGCAGGCGGTGACAAAATAGGTTAAGGTCAAGTTAAAAGGACATATTCAAGGTCAAAATAACAATGAAGACCACTAAACCAAGATGGTGGATATAGCTTACCAGTGTTTAAACGACAACCCAAAGGAGAAAAGTATTTTAAATTCCCAGCATTTCATACCTTGAAAGAGCTACGGGGAAATTCTAATATAATTATTTCTAAACCTGAATAAGGTTCTGGAGTCGTCATTATGAATAAAAGTGACTACAAATCTAAAATGATGTCTATTCTTGATGATAAGAGCAAATTTAGTCGTGATCCCTCCTCAAAAGACATTCAATTGTTGCAGGGCACAGTGACAGCTAATCTACTGAAGCTCCATGGCTTAAATGCTGTATGTAAGGATAAATTGGACCCATTAAAACCACCAGATTGTATATTCCCGCATGTGTATGGGTTGCCAAAAATACATAAACCCAATAATCCTCTACGTCCCATATTGTCAATGTGCAGATCCCAACGCATAAACTTGCTAAATGGCTAGTAGAATTATTGAATCCAGTAAAAACACAATTCTGTAAGTATGTGTTAAAAGATACATTTGAATTGGTTGATGTTCTTGACGATAGTAATATAAATATTATGAACAAGCACATGTACTCTTTTGATGTAAACTCGTTATTCACTAATGTGCCTTTGATCAAGACAGTTGACATTTTGTGTGATTATATTTCCACAAACAATTTTTTCATCCCGTTCCCTATATCTTACTTAAAAGATTTATTACTTCTATGTACTAACAATGTTAGGTTTACATTTGAAGGCGATTGCTCATGCCAGGTTGATGGTGTCGCTATGGCCAATCCGTTAGGGCCCTTTTTAGCAGATATTTATATGTCGCACATTGAGAATTTATCGGAGGATTTAATGGAAAATGTGCCACTTTATAGAAGGTATGTAGATGATATCGTAGTCATCAGTGATAAGCCTTGTTCTGCCACTTCAATTTTAAATCGAATGAATGAAGTTCAGAATAGCATATCACTTACATCTGTAGAAGAGGAAGATAATTGTTTATCTTTCCTAGACATATTGCTTAGTCGAAGGCTTGATGGGTCAATAAAAAGATCTATCTATAGAAAACCTACCTGGACAGGACAGTATCTTAATTACCACAGTTTCTGCCCTGTTCGGTACAAAAGAGCCTTAGTAAGGTACCTCTTCAGTAGAATCCAAGGAATATGCACTGATGACATGCTTGATGAAGAAGAAAGAATATTGACATAAGCTCTGGTTGATAACAATCTTCCAGACAAGTTCATCAGCAGATATAAAGTAGTCAGAACACCAAGACCCACTCTCCAACTCGCCCCTAAGAAAGACGTGTACATCAAGCTACCCTATATGGGGCATCAATGGAGCTTGATAACTAGACAAAGACTGAACGCTGCTGTTAAAAGACTTTTTATGCAGCTAATATCATAATAATAAAGAATATAAAGCCGTTACATCTATCTAACCCTTTCGAACATACGAAAAATGACGTCACATCCCACTGTATTTACCAATTTGAATGTACGTGTGGACACACATACATAGGGAGGACTCATCGATCTCTGCAAGTAAAGGCTTCAGAGCATATTCCTAAACAAATGGATTCTTCAGAACCTATTAACGATGAGAACAGGAGACCTAGCTGTTTTATTGCGAAACATATTATAGAGACAGGACATAAAATTGATGTTAACAGATCATTTAAACCTATCTACAAAATGTGTTTGGGGCGTATCTTAAGGAATATTGTTGAAAGTAGAACTTACAAATAATCTGTATCAAATAATTGTGATTGTCAAAGAAAACGGATATAATTTTTCTAAAAATGAAAGTATTATTCTCATTTAATCTTACACTGTGTTATATAAGGGGATAGCACCAACTGTGATAATTATCATGATGAGTAAATCTACAATGAACTAAGAATCAACAAGTCGGTTTTACAGATAACGATATTCTTACCCAAACATAAAAGCTGGTGGGGCTTTTATGTCCCCTTTGACTATTGTAATTCAAATTAGCACACAATGCATTAAAAAGGACCATTTCTTAATGTTCTGAAATTTGAAAAAGAAAAACACTTTTGACAACACGATGGAAGTAGAATAAACATTAACGAGTTTACTCCGATTATTCTCCTAAAAAGTTTATTTTGCCAGAATGTGTTCGAGAATATAATGAGCGCTTATCTTTGACAGAATGGGTGATTGGGACAAACCGCCAATTGAAAGTCCATGTTGACGAGACAGTATCCAAATTAAATTTATAGTTCGAAAATTATTTTGCAATTTCCATTTAAGCATTTCAAGAAGGTGGAACCTCATCACACTTACCTACGGAAAGCGATTTATTCAGGTTACAGCATTTGAACTGCTTGACACGATTAAGTGTAGTCAAGAAAGCGAGCACATTTACATACAGTTATATACTGGCAATCGATTGAAATGAGTAGTTGCATATGAAGATATCGAACGCTGGTGTTCGGTGACCAGATTAACGTGATTTAAACACCAGACGACCATTTCACCAGTTTGGGAACAGGTTTATTGCTTATGTACAGAGGGCTTAGGATAACATCCAACAGCAATAGTGGCGTAGTACGGGCCATATAGTTAACCTCAGTAAACATCTGTATATGAAACTGTTTAGGATCATATATTTTAATCTTCAGAAGCTTCATTCTTAAAGTGGTTTTCATGGGTTTTATGCTTTTAACAATTATTTGTGATTGGTAATATATTGGTAATTCAATTTTAAAATCAAGTTACATTCTACGCATTGGGATTGCTACTCGCTTTCATTTCTCATCCTAAATTTTCTTTGTTGACCTGAAATCATTTAAACCAATATTTTGAAATTTTTTCTTGTCACACTTTAATTTCCCTTGGTGTATGAGCTTCAAAAAACATTGGAAACCAAGAATAACTGGGCATCCATTTCGTCCGGTTTGCTTTCACGATGCACCATCGATTTCACCAGGACAAAACCTGGGATCTTTGAGTTGCAGAACCAACCCCTCAGTCCACTCAGCAACTTCAGCTGGAATCCATTGACAAGTATATTCTAGATTCGTCAACCCCTTCTATATCGCTAAGCTCACCAATGCTTTTTCTGAGCATCCACGTGTTCGAATTAAGTTTCTCAAATTTAATACACCGTTTACACAACTCACGCCCTCTTATTGCTTTTGGAATTCGCAAACGATACTAACTGCGTTAAACGTATATGTTAAGTTCGCAAACATCTCAAAAAAGGTTAACTGTTTGTAATTTGAAAGCAATTATGCTTAACTGACCCAGTTTATTTCACTTGTTATATTCCAGTAAGGAAAAGGTTAAAAGTTAAGGCAGTGCCTGAGGATTCAACATCTTATATATGGACACAGGTTGAAAGTAGTACAAGTAACTGAGTAGTTCTAACATGATTTCATTAATCCCAGTTCTCATTCTTGATAAATATTGCGAATTTCTGCTTAACTCTTAACTACTCGGTTCATGTAGAATATGTATATCAAACAAGCAAAGCTGGACATGATCAAATTGAAGCTAATCTCGACACCAGATAAACGTTTTTCAAGTCATTTCAAGAATAAGTTAAAACAATCGAGATTACCAAAATGGAAATAGGAGTGGTTAACTTACACAATGAAACTACTAGCTCTCAAATGTATCTGCTAGAAAATATTTTCGCACAATTTCATATAGGTATTTTAACTTTGTTCAACAAAATAATCGACACGATCAATTCACTTTGATCGGTCATAGTCCGTCTTGTTTCTTAGTGTTTTCAAACTTCAGATGAAATAACTGTGATCAAAATCATAGAAATATATGTGTTTTGTTTGTGTACTCCTTTTTACACATAAGCACAATAAGATTAGGTATATGAATGCTACACAACACCATGATAAGCAAAATCATAATCAGCCATTACCATCAAGTGGATAATCTGATTTATGCCTCGATTCGAAGCTTAATGATTTCGCCAAATGATTGAATCAATAGACGATTCATCTCTCGTATATCTGAAATCAAATAATGGACTTAAAGCATCACAGCTCCAATAAATGAATTCATCATTTACATTCCAGTATTATCAGCAAAGCTGAGTAAATCAGAATATTCACGCTTATATTATTTTTCACATATTTCCATGAATTAACATACCTATATTGCCTTTGAAGAGACAAGATTGTTTGATAGTGTTTAGACTAACGGTGCTCTACAGCGAGCTGGTAAAGGGCTAACCATTGTTCCTTCACTCAGATACAGCTATACATTTACGGTTAAACTTATGATATTGGATTTGCAATTATGGCTGGCCTCCACTGTATCTAGATTTCAAATTGAAATACACAAAGAAGCAAAATGAATGGTGAAGGGGCAACCGATATTCATATCGGTAGAATGTTCATGTTAATGGTTATTTGGAAAGGTGACAGTCTTGAAATAGTTGATCCTACTCCTAAGTTATACTGGAGGTATGAGAAGGACACACTCATTGCTTTCATCACACCTGAATTTAGCAGTGGGTGGAATCAAGGTGACTATCGGATTGTAAAATGAACTGAACAGGCTCACTGAAAACTATTAATCTTGAATAAATACCCACACTTTGAAAGTCGGCAAAGTGTTTAAGCAGTACAAATAGTAGCTTAACTAACATGACACAAGATTTAAATAATGAAATCAAACAAATGAAAAAAATATGATTAGCGAATAACTCTCTGACCACAAAATTGTATTTTAAAATGTACTAAGATCCAGCTTCTCGTATATATTTCACTTCATGTAAAACATTTTACTTCGTACTACTTGGCTGTTTGCCCTCCACTAAAATTCCTGTGAAAATCTAAATTCGGATACACGAAATCGACGAAATGATTCACACGGTGATGGTGTAAATCTGGCCTTCGTATCAAATTAGATAGCTTCCCCTTAAATGACCCTTCTCTGAATACGTTTGATAAAAGCGGATATCGTTAAATTGACTGGCAGTGCAAACGCTGATTTAGCGTATTTAAGGTAACCGCTATAAAAATTATTCATCAGGGCCTCGCAGCAAAAACCAACAACAGTCTCACATCGTCAATGCAAGTTGTTTTCCGTTAAAGAAACGTATCGGTGTTTCGCTTAAATAACTGCGCCTTTCGCATCCTAAAACACGATAGCTGAGTTGTATATCTTTCGAAAGGATAAAGCTGTATAAATCTGAACTGACATTTCCAAATGGGTGATGTCTAATTCAGATATATTATATATTGCTGACTCCTCAGCGACTACTTCCAGATTTAAATTAGTCAGAATATCATTACATAAACTCGTAGGTTCAATTCAAGCAAAGTTATTCTAATTCTTGAAATTTGTTAATAAATAATCTCACAATGAACAATTTGACTCACCTAACTTTTTGGGATTACCGTTTCTGATAGCAATCAGATGACTAATATGAATCCGTCTATTTATCTTTTAACTATTAACGGCAAATATTCAGTTTAATTGGAAACATCAGACACACGACTATTGGATCATCCTTTAATTCATTGATTAACTGAATAAATGACTTTCGATATTGAAACTTTAAAGCCTCAATAGGTTTATTCAACCAAGAACAGTCTTATGAAGAATACTCTAAATGCTTTTGCGATATTTTTCATGAATAAACATGGTTTTGTGTGTGTATATGTATGCGTGTGTGCGAGTTTCCAAACATCACATATAACTTGCCAACTGTGACAAACATTGTTCTTTTTGAAATGTAATAACACTGAGAAACAACGCGCACTATGAACACTAAACATGGATGATATTGTCGATAATTTTGTTGAACAAGGCTAATGTATGTATGGGATATTAAGTGCATATTTTCATACACATGGATTATCGCTGAGGAGTTTCATCATGTAAACTAATTCCAACCATTTCCATTTTGATACTTTTGGTTGCTTTGGATTGATCTCCAGCGTATCTGGTTTCAAATGCAGTTTTGTGTTGATAATGACCGAAATGATAGCGACGAAAACCGAAGTGATTTGATCTGAAATCTGACAAGCAATATTCCTGTCCTACTGTACTCTTGACCCAAACCTTCTTGAGTAATGAACAGTTCGAAAAACATTCCGACGACAATAGGAGATCTATTTTCAATAAAATTGATGAACTGTTCAACAGTTATAATGCATCTGAAACTCAGAATTACCTGGATAATGCTGTAAGGTGGGCCAGAGAATACAGATCAAAGAATTTCCAGCAAAAGCGCACAACACGGCAATATTAGTAAACCAAATATCAACTGCAAGATTTACCGAACAAAGACGTAGACTGTTCTGAACATGGTGGTACCAAAACTCCAGCAACAATTATCATACATTAAACAATCCTCACAGGCACTCCAAGGCTAGAATGACTTTCACTCACTGGAGCAAAGTCGCAGTCATTAATTAGCATATCAATATCATCAGCCACTCACTAAGAAGAATATTAAAATTTTACATTTACCAGGGACAAAGACAAATAACATACATTAAATCAGTAGATGAAGTGCAAACGTCAGAAGAATGATGCACAGTCTTGGAGAAAAAAGAGATAATTATTAAAAAGTTTGTTGTACGGTTTGCTTAGGAAGGAAAATAGGAATTTGAGATGAGTATGAATAATGAGAATACTGTAGAGTGAAATCCATTAATAACACAATGCATTACATGGCAAAGTGAATTCACTTCCAATAAATGAAACGAAATTTCAAAAGCTGAACAACCCAACAGATCGAGATGAAAAGGCTGAAAAGCATCTCACAAACAAACACGCCGAGAGGAGCTTAAAAAAGGAGTCTTCTCAGAGGCAGCCTACAACCGTGTTAAACGTACTTGAAGTAATCCTTCACGATTTTACGGTTTGCCCACAGGAAATTAATTTTATATTTAGATTGCAGTATATTGGTTTTCTCACAGTTTTCCTGAATCTAAAGCAAGTAGTTTTTATTTTATGAATTTCGACAACACAATAAGAAGACGCAGAAAACTTATTTGAAACGTGTAATGCAGTGTGTACTTGCGCAATGCAAGAACTTGTTATGTACAGTTTTAAAAAAGGCAAGAGGTTGCATGTATCATTACAATGCAGGCCAGACTGTGAAACTCACAACCATTGAGTAGGGAGATAACAAAGAAAAGGTTGAAAATATTATGAAGCATATTCGATTACAGAGGCAGGTTTCAAGTAATTACAAATAACTTTTCAACACGTAAGACTGACAGTTTTAGGACTTTTCACAGCTAAGTCTTCAACAAATTTAAGTTTGTGGCCAAACACTGTCTTATATTTGGGTTTAAATGCATTCCTGAAATCAACCTTATGACCTGCCTCTATAACGTGATTTGCTGTAGATGATGTCGGACAATTTCTGCGATCAGTTGTATATGCATATTTAATTTGTTGTTGTCGCAGCCACTTTGTAATATGATGTGTAGCCCTAGGCGGGAGAGACCGATGAGTCCTCCTGCCAATGTACGTGTGTTCACACATACATGTAAAGTGATAAACAAAATGAGACGTGACTCTATCGTTCGGATATCAGAGTGGGGGTTTATACGACAGCAAAGTTCTCTATGAAAATAAATTTAGCAGTATAAACATTTCTATGAATTACCACCTTGAGTCTTTGGTTACCGATCGAACCTTATTGGTCACCCATGAACGTTAGGTATATATAAACCTTCTTTTATAGGATCGAATTGGATTGGTAGAACTTTTTAGTTAACATTTCCTTAATGGCCAATACATCTCAGTGGGTTTTTCTTTTAGTGGAAAGTTGTCTTTCTTCTTCAATTTTTGTCAGCAGTACATATACAGTGAGTGCATTTGAAAAAACACTTAACCAATGTCTTTTCATATTGTAGAGGAGAGATACAATGATAATTTAGACACTCTCTGTTCTTTTGAATAGTTTGGTACATAAATATGGCGAAGATAATGATTATTTATGTGTGTGTGTCTGCACCTCTATCTCTCCGTTTAAATGTGTTACATGCTGTCAGTGTCCTAAAGTCTATTGCATCATCAATCGATTCGTTTTATCTGGATAAATTCATTCACTAATGTAACTCCTAAGGCATTACACAAATTGAAATAAACGATACATAAACGTCTAAGATAACAAACAATCAATAATGATAAACACTTGAGTTACATACACACGCACACATATGTTGCCCTTAATTTGCGATTTGTACAGAATTGGCTCACCTATCAGCCTACACGTTCGCTGACACTTTGCACACACTTCATAGAACAAGTGAGATTTAGGGTGTGTGCTGAGACCACTGCTGTCCTACGGAAAAGATATCTGAATGACTGAATTATTGAATTATTAATCACGACGAACGTGTTCTGTTTCACAAAAATGAAAACTTTGTTAAATACTACGAATAAAATGCAATCAATTCGTTTTGTAGTGTACTCAATACTCCACGTGATCATTTTGTACGTTCTCGTTTGTTCTGTTAGTGACGAAAACGTTCGTGCTGAAAGTCTCTTGTAAGTGTTACTAGACAAAATTGATTTATATTTGATATTGCTTTAGCCTGGTACTGTTAACATGTGATGTTTGGTTTGTGTCACTTCCACGCACACGCACTGATTGCTGAGCGTGTTCATTTCTCGTTTAATCTCTTTTAAATTGAATAGCTATTTGTCGGATATCATTAGTCTGCCAGTGGTGTAATCTGAATGATCTTAAGTGAGATCCATCAAAATGTCAGACTGTTGACTCTTCCTTTAGACCTTAACGTGATCTTCAACA